GCCCCGCCGCCGGGCGGAGCGCCCTCACCTCCGCAGGCCTTGGTCCATGCAGCACAGGTCCCCACAGCTGCTGTCGCCGTCCTCATGCTCGACCTCCGCCTGCCCCGGCGCCTCCATGGATGCGGAGGGTGTCTCAACCGGCGCCGGCGCTGGGTCCGCCCGCCGGAACACGCCTCCCGGAAGTGCGGCCCGCGGGCGGGGCCCGGCCGCTCCAACCGACCGCGCACTTCCCGCCCGGCCCGTGGCGAAGCCGGAAGTCGGCGCCTCCGCGCCCGGGGCTTCGCCTCCTTTTACGGCAGCCTTAGCGCTCGCCTGGCACCTGCCGTAAAGCGAGCAGCTTCCGGTGCGAGGTGCTGGGGAAGAAAGGGTCTTGCCGGTGGCGCCGAGGTGTCAGGCGTTCGCGTGGCCGGCGCGGAGGCCGGGCCGCGTCCCCAGCCGCCTGTCTCCGCAGGCCGACGGCCTTATCCCCCAGGGTGTCCCCAGCCTGGCCGGTCAGCGCCCGCCTGCCCTCCCAGGGGGTCGGGAGCCCGTGCTCGCCCGGGAGCTTGCACTGTTCGGCGTGGGGAACCCGTGCGAGGTGAACGCCAGCGGGGGTAGCGCTTCACTCCCTGGAGACCAGAGCTTTCATCCTGGTGACTCCCTGCTTTCGGTAAAATACCGTTGTTGAAATTAACCGAACCGCATCCTTAGAGGAACTATGTACAAATGACATCCTTTCTCAACATCATGTTCTGAAAAATAGGTTTTTTTGTCCATTAGATGGTAACTAGAATGTGCAAGCATTATTATTATTATTTTTTTAATATATATTTATTGATTTTTTACAGAGAGGAAGGGAGAGGGATAGAGAGTTAGAAACATCAATGAGAGAGAAACATCCATCAGCTGCCTCTTGCACACCCCCTACTGGGGATGTGCCCCCAACCAAGGTACATGCCCTTGACCAGAGTCGAACCTGGGACCTTCCAGTCCGCAGACCAACACTCTATCCACTGAGCCAAACCGGTCAGGGCAACAAGCATTATTATTTTTAAAAATTATTTTTATTGATTTCCGAGGAAGAGATAGAAACATCGATGATGAGAGAGAATCATTGATCGGCTGCGTCCTGTAGGCCTCTGCCAGGGATTGAGCCTGCCACCTGGGCATGCGCCCGACCAGGAATGGAACCCTGACCTCCTGGCTCATAGGTGGACGCTCAGCCACTGAGCACACTGGTAGGGCGGTGCAGGCATTATTTTACAGGCCCTTTGGTGGTCCATGGACCGGACCGTGGAAAACACCTTGTGATGACCCTGGGATCAACTACAGCCCGATGGTGATTGTGGAACAACTGACCTCATCCCCAAGCCCTGCACCCCCCCAAGGCCCCCTGTATGCTCCATCCACAAAACCTAAAGGGAGATGGACTCTCTTCTGCTCAACTCCTGTGTGCTGGCTCTTTTCAGTAAACTCGATGGATTGATGTAGTTCAGTGCTTACTTCTATGACTTTGAGACTCAAGAACCTGGCATTCAAGTTCTGGGAACACTAGGAAGAGCCCAGGAGCATTGAAGCCCACTGGTGCTATGGGTAGTGGAGAAGGATCCTGAAAGAAAGTTACTGATGATTGAGCGGGTTAGGGGAGCTCTGACAATGCATGGCATTTCAGAAGGAAGAAAATGCCGGAAGAAGGTCAAGGAAACTCCTTATTAGGTTGCTCTCTGAGCCATGGGGATATTAAAAAATGGAGACCAGCCTGGCTGGTGCAGCTCAGTGGTTGAGCATAGACCTATGAACCAGGAGGTCAGGGCACATGCCTGGGTTTCGGGCTTGATCCTCAGTAGGGGGTGTGCAGGAGGCAACCAACCAATCAATACTTTTCTCTCATCACTGATGTTTCTATCCCTCCCGCTCCCTTCCTCTCTGAAATTAATAAAAATATATTTTAAAAATAGTCTTAAAAACAGAGACCAAGGTATATAGCTCAACTCTGGAGCTGTCACTACTGAACTAAAACCTGACATGGCCCCTCATTACTTATCAAATAAAGGCCTAAGTTTCTCATCTAATATTGGCAATATTCACAGGCCTAACTTGTTAATTTATCATTTATCCATGCCTATCATATTCTAAAATGTGTAGCCACGATTCTCTGTTCCCTGTGACCCCATGCTTTGTCATGTATCTCTAGATTCCTTCAACAAGAGGTGGAGGCGGAAACTCTTTGGTGGCTTTTTGTGACTTTTTATAAAATCAATCAAATTCATTGAATTTCTAGTCCTAGTTCCAAGACATCTAGTGTTAAACCTCAAGGCATCTGGCATGCTTCTGCTCATTTTCTTGGAAGACTGTCCAAGCTGATTTCTGTCCCCACTTCAGAGCTGGAGTCCTGAGACTTCCCTTCCTGACCATCCTGGCAGTTCCCGTTGCCTTTCCCCTTGTTGGATGTTGTGTCCTGGATACAATGTTTTTGTTTTTCTCTTGGTTTATACTCTGCCGGAGCATACGTCCCACAGGAGCTTCTGGTAAAGGGCTGTAACTTTACTATGTCTTCAATTTTGAGATGGTCTGAAGGTCATCTTACTGGTCCCCCAACAGTCTTCCTTAGCTTTCTGCTTTTTCTAATGCTGATGTTGATTGCCACTCATTCTCCTTTTTAAGTTGCAAAATTTGGTTACATCTCTTATTTGCTATTGTCTTCTATCTCATTCTTCTTTTTAAAATCATGATCTGTTTACGCATATTTGATTTCTTTCCTGTCGTGTTAGTGGAGTTTCAGAAGGGAGCAGCTAGCAGCGCATGTCACATCAACCAGCAAACTCTTACCACATTTTTAGTTACCATAATTCTGGAATGACTAATACAGCATTTATATGGTGAAGAACAGAGGGGAAAAAAAGTTGTGCTAGGAGGCATTAAATTGCTGCTGCACCATGGAAGATCATGCTATCCTTACTTAGCATCCCTAA